TTTGAGCTGATGAACCAAACGAGTGAAAAAATAAAATACAAGACAACACTGCCACCTGTTGAGCTTTGCTGGAGAGAAGTCTGGACATGTGAATTGGTCTTCAGTGGTCTGGGAAGCTATCATGAATGTTTAGCTTATGAATTAGAGGTAGAATGGTTTGTCTATACTTATTTTATGTATGAGTTGGTAGTACAGAAAAGCTGGATGGAAAATTACAATGACCCTTAGCTAAAACCTGTCCCAAATGTTACTAAGTCTAACAAGGCCTATGCTCAGAATGGACTTGCTCTTTACTATTTCCTGGATACTAAATACCACCTACTGCCTACAGGAACTATAAAGCAGTAGGCACTTCTTTTGTAGGCACTTCTAGGTACTCCTTTTGAATAAGTAATTACTTTGCAACCGCTAAAAACATATGTTCTGCATAGCAGGGGATAGTGGGGTAAGTTGGGCCAGTGGGTAAGTTGACCCGCCCCCTGTATCTTGGCAACTGTACACTTTTACTGTCATGTGACCATGTATTTTGGAATCACACATCATTGCTGCCCGACTGTGAAAAGGAGAAACACATGGGAGGAGTGGCTTACCAAAGTGTCTATTTTAAGAATTTAACCCACCAGACCATCAAGACAATTTCACACAATTATCTGTGCCAACCAGTAAACACTTCACAGTAGATAACGATAAAGATTGTGAACTGAAAGCCTAAAGAAATGCATTACATAATAAGTTTGTAAGAGCTTTTCTGAATTTGTAGGACAATTAACTCTTTATGATGGCGATTAACTAATTAAATAATCTGGTTTTGTTTTACGTCTGTTTATATTTTGTTGCGTTGAAAAACAGTTTGAAAGCAATATTGGTCACTTACACGATTTGTACAAATCCAAAGATTTTGTAGTTTAGGGGGAGATGGTGGTTGAAACAGGTCGGTCTGTGCGCACTTGCGTTCGTTTAACTAAAAAAGTTGAAATGAGGAGTTGAAATGTATTCTTTAAGAAAAATTCCTACTGAAGCATCCACTTGGATATGTAATTGTGTTACCTTTTTCACTCCTCATGAGTTTGTGTCCCTAAAGAAGTGTTGCTAATTTTTTAAAAGTTAGGAGTAATCCACAATATTTATCACCTAAATTGGAAATCGGCCTTTTCTAGACCACTTATAAGTCTTTTTCTTGTATGATAAACATGGTTGACAGAAGTACTTTTCTTGCTTCAGGGGTTCATTTAAAATAGTGAGTTTAGTAGCCTACTTGGGCAAAAAGGTCTGTCACAGAAAATTGTTATTTGACAACTGAGTTGAAAATCTCTTTGGCAGCTCCACACATTCCAGAGCAATATGGATCTCCTCACAGCTGACAAAGGCATTCCTCAGAAGAACAGCTTGTTTATTATTTAAAGCCCTCACAATCAGGCTGTGTAAACTACACTTTAAAAAGATCAATAATCTAGTTTTGAATGTTTAAAGCTATTTATGAAAGTGCTGCTATCTAAGCAGTTCTGACCAGTCCTGCTTTAAGTTTGACATTCTCACTGAAATAGAAGTTGGAAGAATAATATTGTGTAAACGTTAAATCATTCTGTATAACCATAGTTGTTCACATTTACATTTAGTAATTTAGCAGATGCTTTTATCCAAAGCGACTTACAAATGAGGACAATAGATGTAATCAAAACTAACAAAACAGCAACAGTATGTAAGTGCAAATGACAAGTCTCGGTTAGCCTAACGCAGTACACATAGCAAGGTATTTATATATATCTATATATATATATATACACAGTGGTGTGAAAAA